CATGCATTCAGTCAGGTTCCTACACATCAGCAACTAGCATTCAGAAAAGGAAACTAAGGAAATAATTCTATTTACTCTAACGTTTAAAAGAATAAAATACCTAGAACTAAATTTCACTAAATAAGTGAAAGAATTATATGCTGAAAAGAACAAAACATTACTGAATGAAATTAAAGAACACCTCCTAACCTAATGAAGGTAATCCATGTTCATGGATTGGAAGATTAAAATGGTTAAGATGTCAATAGTTCAGTTTTTGATCTTCATCAGTCAGTGTTTCAAATCTGCTTCATTTTCAGCATGCAAGGTTGTGTCATTTGCATATCACAAGTTGTTAATAAGTCTTTTACCAATTTTCCACGTTTCTTCATATAGCCCAGTTTATTGAATTATTTGCTCAGATTGAATAAGTATGGTAAAAGGATACAACCCTGATGCTCACTTTTCCTGATTTTCAACTCACTTTCCTGGTTTTAAACCCTTGTTCTATTCAAGAGCTGCTTCTTCGTCTATCTATACACAGATTCTGAATAAGCACAATTAAATGTTTTATGTTCTAGAATTCCCATTTTTTCAAATGTTATTCATAATTTGTTATGATCCACACAATAAAATGCCACATAGTTCTCCTTTGGAGGGTTCATGGCCTCTAACTACCAACCTTTTGGTTGACAGCTTAATGCTTAACCACAGTATCACCAAGCTTTGGTGAGGATGGGGGAAATTTGAATTCTTATCCATTGTTGGTAGAACTGTAAAATAGCATAGCTTATGGCACTGCTCAACAGTCGCTCCTTAGAAACTCTATACAGAATTGCTATGGATCATAACTGACTGGATGTCACTTCACAACAACAACTAACCACAAAGCCAGCAAAGCAACCCTTCTGGCTGCTCCTCAAAGATTTACAGCCTTAGAAACCCTGTCCAGAGTTGCTCTAAGCTGGAACCAACTTTACTTGATGCATCTAACTAACCAACCAGTGTGGTGCTGTGGATTAATGTGCTGGACTTCAAAATTGGTTTGAACCAGAAGGTTGGCAGTTCAAGCTCACCTGCCACCCTATATAGGGTTTCTGTGAGTTGGAACTGACTCAATGACTCAATGGCACTTAACAACAACAACATGGGGGTGGGGGTGGAAGTCTATCAAAAATGTAAACATAGACTTACCATATGATCCAACATATATAACCCAAATAATTAAAAATGGTAAAGCAAATTCAGAGCGGTTCACAATGTTTACTGCAGCATTATTCATAATAACTGAAAAATGGAGACAGACTAAATATTCATCTGCAGATGAATGGATAAGCAAAATGTGGTAGATACATACAATGGAATACAAGAACAAATGAAGGCCTAGTGCATGCTAACACATGATGGGCCTTGAAAAGATTATGCTGAGAAGAAATAAATCAGTCACAAAAAAGACATACATTGTATGATTTCACATGTCTGAGATATTTAGAAAAGGCAAATGGATAGAGACCAAAGTTTATTAGTGGCTACCAAGGGTATTACTTTAAAACTACAAAAAAGCAACCTTATAGCCATCGAGTCAATTTCAAATCATAAAGATCCTGGATAGGATTTCTGAAGCAATAAATCTACTGAAGCAAAGAGCCTCATCTTTCTCCCAAGGAGCTGGTAGGTTTGAACTAACTACCTTGTTGTTAGTAGCCCACTGCTTATCTTACAGTACCCCACCTGAGCTCCTTATCATGGCTATAAGGGTGGGGAGAAGAGGGGGTCCTCACTTAGAGGACTTTGTTGTTAAGTGCCATAGAGTTATTTCTGACTCATAGCAACACTAGATACGTTTTCCAAGGAGCAGTTGGTAGATTTGAACCACCGACCTTGTGGATAGTGGTCCAGTGCTTATCCTCTAGTACCAAACCAGGGCTCCTAGGGAATACTAAGCTTCTGTTAATGATTAAAAAAAAATGGAAATGAAGAGCAGTAAGAGTTGGGCCACATATATAATGTCACTGAAATATACATGTAAAATATAGTGAAGTGGCAAATGTTTTGTTATACGTACACTTATGAAAAAACATTTTTAAATGACACAGTCCCCTTAAAAGCAGCTTGGAAATTCCTCAAATGTTAAACATAGACTTACTACATAACCAGTAGTTTCATTCCTATATGTGTGCATGTATATGTGTATGGTGTTGAAAAAAATAATGGAAAAGTCTCCATATGGAAAATGCATATTATGAAAAAACTATGCAAGGATTTTTTTTAATTGCACCAAAATAAACTTATACTGACTTATTTCAGGAGTGCAGTGGCTTTATGGGTTAAGCACTGGCCTGCTAACCATGAGGTCAGCCTTTTGAGCCCACCAGTAACTCGATGGGAGAAAGATGTGACTTTCTGCTCCCCAAAAGATTTAGAGCCTCAGAAACACTACATAGGGTTACTATGAGTTAGAATCAATGCGATGGTGGTGAGGTTGTTTTTAACAACACTTGTTATAATTTGTCTAAACAGGATGCATTTGGAGACACTGAGAAGGATAACATCAGTTTTAAAAAGCCTCTATTAAAGTATCATGATTCTGCTAAAACTGAAGGAAGGATAAACTTCAAATTTATGGTGAAGTTTGGGTAGAAGAATGGTGAAATCACTGATGCTTTATGAAAAGTCTGTGGGGCACTATCCAAAAGAAATCAGCAGTTTCAAAATGGAAAACTCATTTTAAGAAGGGATGAAGATGGTGAAGATGAATCCTACAGTGGCAGGCCATTAAAAAATCTTGAAAGTGACAGAACATTCACATTAATTTGTTTGGAAAAAATTATTGAAGTCTGTATTCTAATTGAAGAAGAACAATGATTAACAGCTGAAGCAGAAGCCAACACCCTAGACTTCTCAATTGATTCAGTTTACACAATTCTGAAAGGAAAACTAAAGTTGGGTAAACTTTCCGGTTTATGAGTGTCAACTTTAGTTTTCCTTTCAGATTAGCCACAGACAAGAGTAAGTTTATAATAAGTGGGATCCAAATCTTAGAGCATTTTATAGAAAAACTGCAACAAGATGAAATATAGCTTTAACAGAATGATTTGAAAACAAAACACAATCAAAGCAATGACTACCAAGAGGTGGAAGTGGTCCAGTCATAGCAAAAGTGGACTGGTTAAGAGCAGAGGCCATGGCAATAGTTTTTGATATGCTCAAGACATTTTGCTTGCTGATTTTCTAGAATGCCAAAAGAACGATGGCATCTTTTCATTATGAGAGTGTTTTGAGAAAGTTTGCCCAAGCTTTAGTAGAAAAACACCAAGGAAACCTTCACCAGACAGTCCTACCTCATTACAACCATGCTCATGTTCCTTCTTCCATCATATGTGGGAATTTTGCTATAGAGTCAATGGGAGTCATTAGGCATTAACCTCAGAGTTCTGATTTGGCTCTTTCTGACTTCTTTTTGGTTCTAGATCTCTAAAAAATCTTTAAAGGGCACCCAGTTTTCTTCAGTTAATAATTTAAAACTGTATTGGTATGGTTAAATTCCAAAAATAGACCAACTGGCTAATATCATCACTTACAGAAGTATCTGTAGCTAATGGAGTTTACGTTGAGAAATAACATTTATCTTTTAAATACCATTTTTCTATGAGTTTTTGAAGTTCGCTAGTGTGTATGTATACACATCCACACACACACACACACAGGAGGGCCTTAAAATGTTCATGAAAAATGGAATTAAGAAATAATGAAAAATTTCCATGAATTTTTAAATCCTCCTTGTGTGTGGGGTGTGTCCAAGATAA